TTCAGCCACAACATCATCATCAACTTCCAGCTTCTTGTATTGCTCAACCAAAGACTTGGTTTGCTCAATTCCTTGGGAGGCATTGCATTTTTTGGCAGCCATTTTCGCCTTGCAGTCGTCCATCTTGGCTTGAAACTCCTTCATCTGTGCAGCCAAACTAGTCATCAAAGAGTCTTCAATCATGACTTCGGAAGAGATTTCTTTCAACTCGTCCTCAGCTTTGTTGATCTCCAGAAGCAAGGACTCATTTTCAGATACAACGCAATGATATTGAGTACTTTTGGCCTTCAATTCAACATTTTTGGCCAGCAAGGAGAGGACCTCGGAATGGACAACCTTCAACGTCGCTTTAAAATCAGCACAAAGATTGAGCGACGAAAGTGTCAGTGCTTGCTCCAATTTTGCATTCAAATGCTCAAGTTTCTCCTTATGCTTGGCAGCACTAGCCTTACCGATGAACATATCCATGACGGACACATAATCAAATATTGACTGCTTGAGGAACTTCATATCTTCCTCTAAAGAAACAGAAGGACAACTAGCTAAAGCAGGGCGAGATGTCTTGACTTGCCCCCAGGAAGTGAATAAGTCTTGGATGGAACGCACAATTTTATCAGCATCCTGCAAAGAAAGTTGCCAATATTGAAGGTTTCCACTACACTAAACAAAGTAGAGGTAAAGGTGAAGCAAAGATTACCTCATCAGCAATCTTGGAAGGTGGCATATCCCCAGCCAAATCTACCACCTGTGGCTCCGCCATTCGTGAGGACTTCCCCTTGTCTAAGCGAGAAGACCTTGTCGCAATGGGCAGACTCATGGGAGCATCTGCAGAACTCAAAAAGCAACAAATCAAAATCAATAGCACAAGCAAAGGTAAAGCATCAAAAAATGAATTACCTTCTGCTTCAACGTTTGGGGGATCAACGCCCTGGGAAGAAGGTGGCTCATCCATTGGATGTGATGAAGATTCTGGGACTGAAGATTTCTCTTTAAGCGTAGTCCTTCATCAGCTGGTTTGGATGAAGCAGCCTCAGCAGAGGATGATGGAGTAGGAGCTGCCAACACCAAAGCCTTCAAAGGAGAGGCTGAACTTTTCTGAGAAATCCAAATAAACCATCAGCACATAGAAAAGTTTCAAGTATGGAAAGGTATGCTTGTGAGTAAACCAAGTTAATTACCTTCCTCCTAACAATGAGAGGGGTGTCATCATCATCATCAGCATCATCCTCCAAAATGGAAGATCCTGAGGCTGGCCGTTTGCGGCTTGGGGCACTTTTAGCTATAGTGGGCTTGGCAGGAAGAGAAGTCGATGGACGAGTAAACTGTTTAGCACGAACAGGGAAAGGGGGACTCCTAATGGACAGAGGAGTGACCAAAACAGGAGAAGTGAAAGAAATGTTTGGCTGGTCCAATGAATGGAAAGCACGATTGGCATCAGTCGCAAATAATCTGCGTTTTACTGACGGCCAGCGTTGTTCAAAAAGGGGATGGATGGCACGGCTAAGATTGAAGGGGGCTAATGAAAAGCTGTTCGTCAAAAGAATATTGCGAGCATCTATAGCTTCTGCCTCTACCTTATTAATGGTGTGGAAGCGGTCTATCAAGTTTCTTGAATAGCAAAGGAGAACAGGCCAAATTTGGCTGAAACCAAGTTGGCGAGCAAAGAATTGGAGAGCGTATATTTCAACCCCAGTTTTGGCATTGGCCCCAGTCAAAATATCATGGAACAACTCCCTCTCGGTCAAAAACTGAATCCAAACGAACAGAGAGGTGCTCGCACTAGCCATAGTGGATGGAGGTTGCACATAATCCGGAGTCAAAGGGGGAGGCAAAGGAAAGAAGGAAGGGTTGAATCCAAAGTATAAAAGAATGAAAAAATATCCCTTCTGGACATATTTACAGGAGTTAGCGGATCAATGGCTAGCCCATAGCAGCTAGCAGAAAGACTGGAAAAGGATGGAGCACCAAGCGATGGAAAATAGGCTCTCAACCACATTTGAGTAAATCAAAGAGGCCCACTGCCAACGGGAGATGACCATTCTTCAATTGGAATTGAAGAGAAGTCATGCCTCTATAGAGGGCAACTAAAAAGAAAGAACACAAATTCAGAGGCCTACCACGCGCCAATTCGTGCGCTATGGGTAAATAGCTCATGGAGGGCTTTACATTTGGCACACACAAAATGTATTTACAAAGCCAAATCAGAAGAAAGGCCACACGTTCAACATAGGAAGGCTTAGTGCTCTAGTGGTTATGACAGGTTTGCAGGCTTGAATAAGACTCGGTGAGTTTTCTATCAAATTTTGGGGCGACACCAGAAATCAAAATACTAGGGAAAATGGTATCGCCCAAAGGTGGCAGATTTACTAGGGCCCCAACATCCCTTAAGGTATTGGACATGGGGCCAAGAGGGAAAACAAAAGTATTATACTTAGAAGACCAAAAACTTAAAGCGATTGGAAAAAGTGCTGAGTCAAAAATAAGGGTTTGAAGAGAGATTTTTAACAAATCAGAAATCCTAGCATTATCAAAAATTGCCTTAGTAGGACCATGGTCCACAAGGCGAGCATGCCATCTACGAAAAATGACATCAGATTTAGGCCAAGTGCGAATACCTCTTTCGCGAAGTGGCCTCAGCGGTAAAGAGTTTAGAAACGGAGGGCCTTGAGTACAAGGGAATAGCTGACCGATCGTTGCTTGATCGATTGCCTCGACGTTGTTGAATGAAGGACGTAGATAGAACTCTTTGAGTTCGACATTGGCTGGTGCAAGGAAGTTCGGAGTTATATATGGCCGAGTGAAGAGTTTCTGGAAGTCTTCGAAATTGAAGGAGTCACCAGACTGGGATTGTGAAGTAGTCATTAGCAATGAAATAGAGTTTGTTGAAGTTTGCTTAAGAAACGTAGCAGAGAAGCAAGAAGATGAACAGTAATATTGCGAGAGAGAAGCGCTAAAAAATGAGGCATGATTTAGTGGTGCAATGAAATGGCGTGTATTTGGGGGTTATAAGGGTTTGCAAACGTCGCACCTTTTCAGGCTATGGAAGAAAACAATGATTGAAATTCTTGGGAATTTCGAATGTTGCTGGGAAACACAAAGTGAATATGGCAAAAAATTAATAATTGGTATTAATTCTGCCTTATTGGGGAGTAATTGTTGACACACAAAAAGTTCTGTCCAAATCGAATAGCCCAAGGAATGAAGCCCAATTGGAGGATCCCCAAATCAGATAGCCCAAAGAACGGCCCAATCAGGCAATTCAGGATAAAGGCCCAAATAGGGAAACCCATGAACGCGGTAATACCATCGTCCAAGCTTGCAAGTCGTCCAAGATTTGAGCGAATGGATTGCCATACAGTCGCCCAGAGCTATGACCCTGTTCTCGCCCCAACCTTTGAGTCGCCCAGAATCTTAGCAAACATAAGATGTTATGGTTACCCAAAAATGCGGTTAATAAAATAGTTATTGAGTAGCCCTATCACGTTCCACGATTTATGGAATTCAATTGAAGACGGTTGAACGACAAAAAGTAATGGCAGCAGTTAGAAGAGGCAGTTCCATGACAAGTTGGCCACTACGAAGAAAGTGGGCAATTATAGAGCGATCAAGCAGTTTTTAAGCGGTTGATCACGAAGAGATCATCCAGGGAGTATAAAATGAAGAAAAGACATAGAGCAAAAGACCCCGAATCAAACACTCTCAAATAGAGAATATGTGACTTTAAATTTCTTATTTTAGATTTAAACACTTCTTTTCAGTAACTCATGTGCTTGCGCCCCTTGGAGGCATTCTGTTTTTATTTCCCAATTGTAAAGTCATCGCCAATAAAAAATACCCCTTTTGGGACTTTGTCTCAAGAGGTTTGTCCCTTACACAATCGTCTGATCCCTTTTTAATTGTTAGCAACTAACCCGCGC